GTGAAAAAGTATGTAACGGGCAGAAGGAATCATCACAGACCCCACAAAGTATATACATTCTTGATGAGCACGACGAGCTGAGTTGATATAGCTCTGTACGTCTGTCCGTCCGTTTATCCGTCTGTCCGTATGAACGCCGAGATCTCAGAAGTTATATGAGCTAGAGAGCTGAGATTTGGCAAGCATACTCGTGTATACCATACGCAATACAAGTTTATCATATTTTTCGATAACATATCCGATAACCTTTTATCGAGAATAATCGAAAAATCTATTTTGTTTTTTGAGCCTAATTTAAACACTTTTAGACCTGGAGACTTCAGATTTACTGTGTATATACATATGATAAATACAAACATTTTGTAATCAACAGATTTTGGATACGATGCCCTTTCGCTCCAAACGTATTTGAAGTACTCTAGACTTGTATGTCTACAAAAGATGTTATTCAACAAAAAATTCTCATAATATTGCCGACACAGCAGCGCGGGCGAGTAAGGGTGGATGCATATGTATGTATATGTGCGTGCATAAAAGAAGTGCAGAATAATAAGAATATCAGCTTGGAGGGTCAGAATATCCTATATTTTTCTTTTAATAGCTTATTTGAGTCTACATTTTCTCCGGTTTCTAGATTTAGTCTATGCCAAAAATATTTTAAGAAAGAATAAAGATAATTCAAAACTCTATTCAAATTTTTGTTTGATTTGAAGGCCAAATATTTATTTGTTCAAGACCCGCATGACACCCATCGAAATTATATATTTATTTATAAGTTTTTCCTTCAAGAACCTAAAGCCTCTATTAGAATGCTTACGACTTATTAAGTATTTAGAGTCAATTTCAAGTGGACATAGGTTGATTGAACTTTTCCACGGGGCTTGTCGGCAGAGTCGACTGGTAGGTAAGCGAAGCCCCACATTGGCTCGTGACTGGGAATTAAGTTTACTTCGTGGCGTTGGCCTCCTGCTAAAATATTTACCAAGTGCACACAAAACCAAGGCGTAGATTATGTCTGATTAATATTTTTTTTTACCAAAATTCTGTCCTTAACTGCATAAATATTTAACAAGTAATTTGCGTGAAAATATTAAATATCAAAAGTCAAATGTCAAAGTCCAAGGGGACACGGGAGATTTTTTTATTACGCATACGCCTTGTACTCCATGCACAAAAAAAACTCGTTGGGTTTGCATGTCTGTTGTTGTCAGTTTTATAGTTTAATAAATTGAACGGGGTTTTCTTGAAATATTACTTATATGTGCTCGCATTTGCCAGAATTTCTGCACCGAAATGCCATTGAAATGAAAAGTTTTATTAATCATAGTTGACGCTATTTCTCGCAATGCTGAGAGAAAAACCAAAAGTTATGGCTCTTCTGTTAGCCACGGCTATAAATAGGACCTTCAATCAGCTGGGCGTCATCAAGTTCAAGGGAATTGGAACAGGCAATTTTGCATTGGCCATAACAAAGCAGCACAAAACAAAATTATAATTCATTATAATAACGGCTTTTCCTGAAGTATTCCGCATAGACTCCACGTCCATTTAGCCAAGAACAATGGCTTCTAACGACCTTTACATGCCACACACTCAGTTGGCCTTGACAGTGTGCGTCGGCTAATTGAATGATTTAATCAAGTAATTAGATAAGGAGGGTGGGGGACGAAACTGTGGGTTTCACCATTTATTGACAATAGTCAATTAGTATAAAATTCGAATAGTAATATATTAAAAAATCAATAATAATTCTATTTAAATAACGATATTATTGCTATAGCTTTTTTAATAATTAACTAAAAAGTAAAGCACATTCCTTTATGGATATTTCGATTTGGGAATTTATTATTCAGAAAGTCTTTATACCCATTGCCAATAGTCTTTATATATATGTATGTATGTCTATAAATATAATAACATACAGACAAATACATAAGATAACATACATATACATACATATATCATAGCCCTCTGTTACACTGCCCCACTCTATCTACGTCTATTTAAATAATTAAGTTTTGGTTGTGCTTGCACAGAATTGGCAGCGCGGACACATTGGAAATTGTGGCCTCCAAGTCCACGGGCACAGGCGCAGGCACTGGCACGGGCAGCGAGGAGCCCTCGACGCCGGAGGACAATATTAATGTGGTGGTGCGTGTCCGCCCTCTAAATGAAAAGGAGAAACGCGATAGGCACGGAGCCACATTGAAGTTTCCTGGCAATGGACAAGTCATCGTAAGTCCAAGACGGGTTAAGCTCTCAGAATGGAAAGTAACACAAGCCTGCTTTACACAGATCGAAGGCAACGACACGGGGGCCAAGCGTTCCCACAATCGCGACAGTGTGCGCGTATTCACGTACAACGTGGTCTTTGAGCCAGGTGCCACACAGGAGGATATACTGGACTATTCAGGCATCAAACGCATTATTGAGATGGGCATTGAGGGATTTAGCTGTACGGCATTTTGCTACGGACAAACAGGCTCAGGGAAGACGCATACCCTAACTGGACCTCCAGATTTGGTAAATGAAAGAATCAGCGCAACCATATAAAATATAAATTTCTACATCATTTTCCATGCAGTTTGTGGGCAAGCCCAATCTAAAGGATCCCCGTCATGGCCTGATATTCCGTTCGTTTGTGTATCTCTTCCAATTGATTCAGAATCGCACGGATGTTAATTATGTGCTCAAGGCTTCGTTTATGGAGATTTACAATGAACGGGTGAGAAAATATGTAGCAAAATCACATGTTAACAAGTAAGAAGACTCTAGTCGAGACTGCTCGACTAGGAGATACCCTGAA